ATACCTCATTTTACACCTTAATTTTGGTATACATGAGCTTAATCTCCAAAACCCGCATTTGATGAGGAATTGAATGTTTAAGGGTGAAATGGGTATTCCTGATACCTCTGCAAACCTTAGATGTACAATAAGATATCCACTGAGTAGTGTCAACTTTTTTTATTTGTAGCTTGTGCTTAAAACTAAAAAAAATTCGCTACGAAAAGAGGATGCAAAATGTGATGGCGACAATTTTTTCATCCACTATTGGACTTTGATGGCACTAGTATTCGCAAGCAGCCAGCGCTTTTCTTTAAGGCACTATGGATGGACCTATCGACTCGCTATTAAAATATCCTCTTTTTAACCTCATTTGACCTCCAACAGGCAATTGTCTATTCTCTACAACGTGTTTTTAACTGAACAAACTTACATAAAGATCGATCCCATGGTGGAGCCCCAGTGACCATAAACTGATCTAAAACGGTGGAGATCCTGAGGTGTGGAATAAAAATTTTCCCAATTTTATAATAACACATTCCATATAAGTCTGAAATCTTGCACAGCACACAGTCAACTCTAAGATAGCACGGCGGGGGTTTGAAATGTCATGTTCAACTTGACTGGCATCAGTTATTGCTACGGTCAAAAACACATGTAGTTGGCCTCACGACAACCAAAGGTCAAAATTGAACTTTTTTGAGATACACGTAGTGCCATTTTTTTCTTGCCAACTCTTCGTGGGTGTGGTGTGGCCTGTAAGTGTGAAAAGTACGTACAATTGGCGATTGAAGTCAACATCCTGCACAGATGGACTTTCGACAGCTCAACCATTTTGTTGGTTATTTGCCATAACTTCGGGAGAGGTTCCTAGAATCCTCTTTTTGGACTAAAACTAGGTGCATGGTAGATTGGAGGCTACCTGAATGAAGAAATTTACTTTTTTGATACCTGTCAGTAACTCTGTCGTAGAGCCGGTACATCTGTGATGCGAGGTTTTAACTTAACGAAGTTCTCAGAGCTTGAATGTTATTCCTAAATTGAAAAAGACTCACCACCTTGAACCAAAGTGGAAGCAAGCACCCGAACCTACCACCTACAGTTACTCATTCAGTCGTGAAGTGTTAACATTGTTTCCATGGTACTGGTAAGTAGTCTCGTGTCCGTTTACAGAAGGACACTTAAGAATGGGAATTATCTAAGTATGCAATGGAATCCGGCCAACTTTCCCTTCCTCTTCTATATTCAATGCTGTAAAACACGTTCTTAAACTGACATCTGACCGAGAACCCAATGCTAAGTGCCTTCAAACTGCGTCGCGACATTTTTCTTATCAAGCTCTCTTAACGCGGTGTTTTCACGCGCAGCAAACGTTTCGCGTCCTTAGAAATGATGCGCTGCGTGGTGATTCAAGTCCTGCCAATAGTACGCATTGTGTGAATTCATGTGAGGACGATTGGCGATGGCTCAGCAACGATCAGCCTCGAAATTGAAAGCTGGTCATTATTCGTTACACTATTTTTCTAGTATTCCGACCTTCCTTTTCGTGGACATAGGCCATTTCAATGGTAGCATAACCCACAAGCCCCTCCTGAAAACACTCATAAGGCGTACGGGTTCGAATGGATCGGTACTGCAAAAGTACGGAAGGTTTGGTGGGCTGTCAATGCAAATGGAACAACACGCCACCAAGATGCTGACTGAGGCTAAAGCGTGCATCGTTTGAATTCCCTAAGCGTATCGTACGTGGTCTTTACTCCTCCAGTTTAGTGGTGGGACTCACAATTGAAATAGACTGCCTTCCAACATACGTCCCCAAGCCCTCATAGCAAGTTTGCAACCATGCCCCTGCCTGGGATTTCCGTTTACCCACACGCACCTCATAATGAACAATAGGAGAGCTAGGAGTATGCGTGGGTATGGGTGTGGAAGGGGGTGGAGTCTTTTGTGTATTGTAAAGAAGAGGGTTTCTGGGACAGACAGGAGGCTGGCTTGTCCAAAAACGGCCCCGTTCTGTTTGTTGACATAGCGTCAAGAATGAATCACAGTATACCCCCGTAAAAGAATAGGTTGTGTATGGGAGTCGGTCGATTTGCTGGGTAGATGTTTGGTCGGTAGGTGGTTGATTCACTCATGTATGAACTCATTCCTCTACTTTCGGCTTGACTGCAGGAGGAAGGAGGGTCTGTGAAATCGAACCACGAAATGCAGCGTCAGGGACATGTGTGCTCAGAGTACGGAGACAAAGTTGCCTCAGAGTCGTTTCATAAAAGTTTGAAAGTATCATTTTTGTTCATTTAACTGTTTGAAATCATTCTTTGCTTGGTCTTTGATGACAAGTTTCAATTAGCGTCAGGATGTACGAAAAAAATCAGACTTGTAGTGCCTGTAAATTCCTGGCATTTCTGAAACAGCAATGTAATTTGATCTGCAAACCTTGTCAATTAAGCATGTTTAACAATGCCAATTGTAGAATTTGGCATTGCAGAATTCCCCACTCCTTGGCGTGACAGTGTTTTCGAAAAGCCTTTTGTGGTTGCTTCCTCTGCTTGCCAAACGAAAGTATTTGTTTACTTACCCGAGAAAGAATTGGGGGAGCTGCCCTGGCGGTTTGCGCTAGTTTCCTCCAACTGCTGCGGCAGTTCAATTGCGCACACCACCACATATTTTAAGATGGTCGAAGAGGCAGGCAGAAAAGTGTAATCGAAGTCAAAACCACCATCCACAGCTTTTTTTGCTTGAATTTGTATTTAGACAGTCGTTAGAAAAATGGAGGACACATGTCTAACACTACCAAGTTAGGTATTTGCAAGGTCGTTGCTTACTTGCTTCTTCTTTTATAAATAAGAAATTGTTTACACGGAAGTTTTACAACCTGACCTTGTATTTATGATGACCTGCCTATCGATGAGGCGGCATTAATATCGCACATGCGAAATTGTTTTCTACATCCTTAAAAGTCGGAAAGTGTCGCTTCCTTGGGTTCCTACCCTATTTTCCGTTTTATTTATAGTATGGTCCAAACTCTCCATAAGGGGGTAGTGATTCACAAATATAAGCCTTATTTGAAAAAGGTTATGGTGTGAAGGGTTTAGCAGCTCACCTGTCTACTCTTCAACCTTTTGCCTGTGCTAAATGATTTAGACAACGGTTTCGCCAATTGGAGGCACAATAAACGTATTACGCAGCCCAGAGGGTGAAACTCACAAATGGTCTCCTGATAGGCAACGCAGGCAGAAACCCGAAGGTGACTTCCACCACTCTGATGTACTAATTGCGTGTGGGATCGGCGATTTTATGCTTGTAGATGGTCAAGAGGACAACACTCAACTCATTGTTAATATGAAGGAGACAATGTTAGTTACCTCAACATCCATTACTGTTCTCAGCTTCTAGCAACCTTGGCAACGCTGATATTTTACTAAATTGCGCTTCCTTCACATAAACCTATCCCAATTTTTCAGCATTTTCAAGGCAAAATTGTGAGAAATGACCAGTGCCAATTTGGTCACGTGACTGACAGAGAGCCCATTTTGGCCAACAGCTTGAAATACGGCTCTACTAAGGGTTCGTTGGATTCTCTAACTTAAAGCTTATGCCTTTTTCCTCCATCGCACAACTACCAGGCCAGGTCAGAGGCGCATCGTGTCACAAACTTATGGATCCGTCTGCATCATTCGTCACGTCTAAAGGAAAAGGGTCAAAATGAGGGTAGCTAAAGGAAAAGACATTCTAAAGCTTTAGTAAAATACCCCAACTCTCCGGCTTTATGGATGATCATGCGGCTCGATCAGGTGAACTCCAGAGAGTATTGTGTTTGATTAAAACCAGACTTTTACAAGTGTAGCAACCAAGTTAGCTATCACGAGCGCGTTCAACGGTAAGTGCGCAAATTGCAGTGATACAGGCGACCAGGATAGCAGCCATGTGAGCCTTCTCTGTGTTATGGTCTAAACGCCTACAAAGGGCTGATCTCATCAAACGAATCTCCCTGAGTTGCCGCCTATATGGACCTTCAAACCAAAGCTATTCAGTTAAAGTCAACATCTTAAACGCTGTGTAGAACAAAGAGATGCAAGCCTGCGACTGTTCTAGCCTTGCAAAAAAACCCACTTTAGCTCCGCATACACGCCTGGCCTGAGCTAACCAATATGGCTTCAAACACAGGTTGCCTGCGTTCATTAAAATTCTAAGAAGTGAATTCCATACCTCACTTTAAAAATGGTGTTACCTCACTCAAACCCTTTCCTTAAGCCACGAATTGTGTCCACATGCAAATGGGTTACGCCTCGCTGACTGTATTGTGGCTTAGTCTCATTTTATTGACTAATAAAAGTAATCGCTAAAAGCATTTCCATTTGTTTACTTCATCTCTCAAAAAGCTTATGATGGAACAGATACGAACCCTTAAGTCTCAAGCGCCTATTATAACACTTTAGTGACGATAATGAACAACTCGTTCACTAATTTCTTATATGCCTGAGTTGAAGTCATCTTTCGGTTGTAATACGTTTAAGCATCAGTAAAAACGTCTTCATCGTATGAGTAAATAAAAACCAAACGCCCCGCATCTTATTTGCCGACTTGATACTGTGACTTCCTCTAACCACTCAGTTACGGAGAGCGTGCTCCATAGCCAAGCTCAAAGTCTCCGTGGCAGAATCGAAAATACCCCTCTAACTGACTGATTTTGAGGCTGAAGGTAGTGCCACCACCCCACAAGGCCGTACGCGCAGGCAAACACCAGTAATGATGTTGCGACTGGGTGATTCGACAGCTGTTCGCATCTGGGCACTCATTGGTGCATTCAAGGTCGTCAGGCTATTGGCCGCCAACTTAAAGTATATATATTCTTCAAACAGACCCACGGTGGATTTTCTTTTGCCTTTTCCAGCTTTGTTTTTTCGTCGCCCACTTCGAGCACGACTGCCTTTCATTAGAGCATCTTATCCCGTATCAATTTCATATGCTATAATATTTGTACGTTTTCTGCTGCTTCATACATTTTATTCGAATTCAAAATGGTTGAAGTAACCCACGGCATCTCGGGTACCCTTACTAATGAAGACGCATCACAGCCGTTGACATCTCCTAAACTTCATGTTAGCTCTGGCCGTCTACCAGATGACCATATGGCAGCGGTGCGCAGAACAGCCGCTTCTAAACGCTCCCTGTTGAAGATTCGAGCGTCTAGGAGCATCACTAGCTGCAATCGTTCAGACCTCTTCACTTCAAGGGATGAGTCCAAGAGTCCCAGTTCTCCTAGTTCCTCTGCTGATGAAGACCCAAAGCGCTCAAAGGCGGAGAGACCTTCCAGCGATCCTGAATGTAGTCCTTCTGGGTCACCAAAGGCTTCTCTGGACGGCCAGACCAGACCACTCTTCCAGCGCAGGACCAGAAATCACTCTGCTCCCATACTTTTAACATCGATTGAAAGCTGTGGAACCAAAACCTTAAATTCACCTGCGATAGTTTGTGAGGTAAGCGTCTGTTGCCGTTTGTGTGTGCGTGTGTATGTGCGTAGTGCTTCTCTCTTTCGCGAACATTCCTTTTCTCCGTATGTTCACTTGCTCCTTCATGTGCCTTTAGCTGTCACGAATCCCCAAACATCGCCTGCAAAAGTTGCTGAAAAGCGAGCCTAGCTACCATCCCAACAATGCATTCCTCTACTACGTCGATCCGGTTAGTTGCGGGTTCTCATTGTCTTTGTACTTTGTCTTAACGCTCTGCTTTTTTGCCGTACTATTGAGCCTGTTATTGGCTGTATCGTTCCCTCTTGTGTGCTTCTTCTCATGCTTTAAACTGCCTCCAGAGTGCATGCAAGTGAATACCAAGTCAAATGATTCGAGTCCACTAAAACATTGTGTAAATAGTAGAATCGGATCTCAGGTCTTACCGCAAAATTTGTTGTCAATTTTTTATACCCTTGACGCGAAAGGTTCAGCGTAGCTTACATGTTCTACACGTGCATCTGTGGGCACCAAAAACAACAGTTTTAGCAGTTTGGGGTTGAGGAAAGTGTTTGTTCCTTTGTCAGCATTTACTGTTTGTAATCCAGATACTCTAAAGCATTTATCTCTTGTCATTTACTGCCCTAGGCGATCATTCCGTCGTTACGTAATTGTATACTATGTTGTATCTGTCTCCACAGTAGTCTTTGTTCCACTCTGCTCATTTGACGGTTGGCATTACTATGTCTAGGACGGGTATCTGACCATCCCATCGAAATGCTTAATACATTCAGGCTATCTGCTTCAAGGTTGGGGCGAGCTGTTCGAACTGCCATGGGGGCGTTGTATTTCGTTTGGTTTCTTTGGCGGTCACTAGGACTTGACAGCTAAATGTGTGTTTGTTGGTTTTGTGTGAAGACCCGACCTCTGCATATTTAACGGTTCGGAGGGTGTGCAATTTGGGTTCCGAAAGCAGGCTCGGAATGGCAGACGGCTGAGTAGCATCCGTGTGTGCGCGCCTGCAGATATTCCTATGGCAGCTACAATCAGCTGATTCCACAATCTACCTCTTGGTCGCTCCGCCCAGCTGTTTTCGCTGTGCGCGCACGTGCAAGCATGTGCGAACGTATGTGTGCGTGCACGAACGTGCGCACTTGCAGATGACGTGCCTTTCGTGTGTGCACACGGCCCAAGAGCTTGCACACACACACGTATGCCCATATGTGCGCCTAGACTTGAGTACAGATGCACCCAAAACCCTGTCTCCTCCACTTTGCGTGCACGTCCGCGTGCGTGCGTACGCGCGTGAGTGGATGAGAGTGGAAGTTGATCATTTCGATGTACCAGTAACACATCAGTTTTCTGAGTCGTCGTGAGGCTGTAGTAAACTCACAGAACTTCAGATTGGTCTCTCTCTCTCTCTCTCTCTACTAATTGTAGGTTGTGGAGGACAAGGTGGATGCCAACCTTCGCAATGAGGCTGTACATAGCTTGCGTTTCATGCATAATGCTTTCTTTACTCTCTCCGCAGAGGCATTCTGCAAGGCGGTTAATCTGATCGATCGCTTCATCGTTAAAGTCAAGGTGGGCTTCCCACTTGCTAAAGTTTGCTTACCTACTTCTATTTAAATGCTAAGTTTTGTTGATCCTCCTTGCAGGTTAAGCCGAAGTACATGGCTTGTGTTGCCGCCGCTGCATATTACGTTGCCGCAAAGCTGGTCGAGTCCACTCCGGTGAGCGAATCCTGCCAACATTGCCCGGTAAAGCTTATCTATGTGCTAGGATTCCAGGGTACTGTCACCTTACGGATGAGTCACTTGTATTAACATCGTACGTTATTTTGGGGAGATGGGAGAGGGGCGTGGTACCAACGCTGCATGTCTGAAATCGGACTGCGGACGTCATCTGTGGCTTTTGCATACCATACTTAAACTATATCTTGAGTTTGGTTTCCGTATGCTTTCCAAACCTATCGTTAATTTCGGCGATTCAATGATTGTCCCTTCTCAAAATGGTGGCCGCGATAAGACCGTCTACTCCCACTGCTTCTGTAACTGGCATAATGTGGAAGTCTGCCTACCTGACGGGCTGACGCATTCGGTTCTACAGTAGGGTTAGCATCTAATTGCCATGATCTTGAGTGAATTCCTCATGAGAGTTTATCTGTTGGCCTTTAAGGAGCTCGGAGTGCCGAGTCCGGACGCGTTAGTTCAAATCTCGCACTGTGGTGGAACAGCGGCTGATCTGCTTCGTATGGAGGACATCCTGACCTCCAAACTGGGTGGAGACCTAGATGGTGTTAACGCCTTCGATTTTCTCCGCCTCTTCGCCTCCGCGGCAATAGTTCTGCCCGAAGGGACCACTGTTCCATCAAGCTTTGGTGGCACCGGGGTGGGCAGGACACCCTCCATGGAAGCTGAAGACCCTCAGGGTCAGCTCCTTCTGCCCCCAAATTCGATGCCCGAGTCGAAAAGTGCTGAGATCACTACTTTCACTGCAAGAAATCCACAGAGCCGTCGTATGTACGACATTTGGAGCGCCATGACGAGCCGACTTGTGGTCTCCCTCTGTTCTCTCGAGATCTACCGTTTCAGACCGGCTACAGTTGCCTTGGCGGTACTGCATCACTTCCGTGTGTCAGAAGTTGAAGCTTTGGCTCAGCTTTGTGGTGTGAGTCTCTTGGGAGCATTGGCCCTTCTTCGCGAGGAGTAATCACGTATTCAACTCACCTATTGACGTGATTCCCCTTGTAGGTCCAGATGAACGATGTGCACCAGTGCTCAGCTTTGGTTGAGGAGCTCTACGATGTCTTCTACCGCGACTCACATCCCAGCAGTCGCAAAGCACTCGCATGGACTCTGTCCAAACGCACTTTGCTTCGTATCGGTTGTTCTAGTCCTACCACATTGGACACAATCTCGGAGGATTGTGAGTAAGTTGACTCGGGAATGGATGTGACTGAGCGAATGGTGTGAGAACGTGGTGTTATTCCAATTCGTTACTGTATTATAGAACCGACAAGGAAGACAACTTGCAATTCATGTTCGAGCCATAGTGGCAATCATATATGCCGCCGTTACCAGCTTGTTTGTCCCACTTTCTGCATTTCTTTCAAAAAACTCCAAAAAGCCATGCACGCATACAAGTCAGACTTAGTTCCTCTCTTCCACAAACAAAGTGTTTTTCCCCTGTCTCAGGACCATATAAATGTGGCGAAATGACCGGAACGGCACATCGCTTGTCCGGTGGCGGTAGGACCTTTTTTGTAGTCGATCCACCGCCACTGCAGCACCAATCATCATTGAACGAAGTGCTCTTTCATTAGTTTTCTTACCTCCTCCCATTTGAAGCAAAAAAAGAAAAAAAAATGTAGTAGAACCAGGGATGGTAGGCGAAGGGTGCGAATAAAGGGCCACCATTGTTGTCGTCCGACTTTATCAATCCCCTTCCCCTCCCCTTCCCCACACGCACCACCATCTCAATCTATCTCTTGCTGGCGGTCACCGGTTGTCTTTCTATCTAAACGGAGTTTTCTGTCTTACTTCCTGCACTGACCACTCGACCCTTGATCTGTGATGATGACGATAATGCCGCGGTGGAGCACGATGTCCTATCCCCTCTATGGAAGGTTGTTGCATTTACACTCGCAGACATTTCCTACCTTCTTAAGAAACCACGACTTGTTCTTTCGTTCCCGGTGTTTTTACCCTAACCTCCTCCCTTTTTCCTTCCTCACTTTGAGCTTTTGTCATTTTATATCAATGTATACCGAGAAGGGGGAAACCCCCTTCCCGTGTAGAACAGCAATGATTTATATGTTCTCCCACCCCCCTTCCCCCTCTTCCTTCACCAGAACCAGGAACACAAAGACTTGAGTTCATGTACATGCACACGAGCACACACCCCTCTCCCGTCACATTTCTATGTGTATGGGCGTTCCATTGCGTGTGCTCGTGTGCGTGCGTGTGCATGCTGTGCAACTTTTCACGCAGTAACTCAACTAACAATAACATCAACGGAGGCAAGCCATTGTTGGAGTTGTCGAATAAACCCAATTTGTTATCAATGATATGGTTTTTCTTCTTGTGTCTGTGCCTTGGACTCAGGCTTTCGGCACCGTAATTCTGAGGCCCCAGTAGGGATATATTTTAGACGATCTCTAGCTAGTGGACTAGTGCTGGATGGGTGGGAGTCGCGCTCCTTAACGCGCTTCAGTGACACCAGTTTCATTGTGAAAGTAGCTATGAGGTGAGGAGGGGGCTATAAGCCACCCAGAAGGTCTTAACTCCCACTTGTGACTACCAGGCGAGTGATTGGGTGGGCTGCCTGGGGTCGAGTGTCATGTGTCTACTCCAGCTGTTGCGTAAAGCCTGTTCACCTTAGGTCTCACACGGTGAGGTACAGACGACTGTTTCGCGAGGGATTGTGGCTACTGGCACAACCCGAAGGTTAGGCCATCCTGCAGTGGTGGGGTCCCAGATTGACCTGTCATCAGAACCGAGAGCTAAATGAACGAGTTGTGTTTGCCCCTCTTCAGGGTCCAGCAACTGAAGCCACCACTTGTGTGGTTCAAATTCCCCTTCGTCAAGCTTTTAACTGTCTGTTCTATTGACGGGGGCTACTTCAATAGGCTCACTTCCTCACCAGCGTGTAGTCACGTTTAGGACCTTTATCGCTGTTGTGGAGGGAGCATTTTTTTTTCCATTGGAGATTGGACGAATTTTAGCCGAGTGATTTGACCGGAGCTTGCCCATATGGAATTCTGGGGAAATGATCAATAAATGTGTTGATGGAAGCTAAACAATATGCAGTTTTATCGGCGTCCTCCATGTATATTCCAGTCTCATTCTAACGAACCCACTGAATGAACAGGGAACAATAGACCTCGGGAATAATGGTAGTGACTGATGTGTATAGGGGTTAAAAGGCACTATTTTACCTTATGCAAGGAGGGTTCAATATGAAACCCCCAATCTGCCTTTTGTGTCATTGAAGATGAGCGTGGCTACAAGGTGTCGGTCAGTTTTTGAGCCATCTCGCTATTTTCACATGCCGGCGGTTTTTTCCGTAAACACTTCTAGGCAGGTATACATCCAGTCGAGATTTTTAAAAGTGAAAGAACAGCATCGCTAGCATTGCATTACCTCCTCTCCTTATTGACACTGAGCGTCAATTAGAACCGAGAATGATTTATGGCCAGCGAGTGTTGTCTTGTGCCCATGCGGAGACCTCTGCATCAGGGAGGCTTTACATGTGCGTGTAATCCGGAAGAAGAAACTTTATTCTTCACCCATTCACTCGAAAGCCTTGCAGGACGGAAATCAGATGCACATCTCAATGTGCGCATTTCGCTGAAATGCTTCCACAATACCTGTACGTGTGCGCACTTCACTGATTCAGGAAAAAGGAAACTGCGAAACAATTTGCTTTAAACGGAAATACGAGAAGTGAACGCTTTCAGATGTAAAAATTCCATCAGATACCCGCGTACATGGCGACACACACACACATTGCGTGACTCACAGCATGGTTCAGGTCACATGCAACTTATTTCTATCCTGCTGGATTTCCCAACACAGTTTTCGCTTTTTAATAGGGCTGCCTTCGGCGTGGGGGCAAGCACACAGGACGCAAACACACACGCATCGAAAAGCACAGACCACACAAGTAAGAAGAGTCGGTGTTGCGTTTACACCTCTCCAGTATCTTCGTCACAATGAGATATTCCACCAGTGCACACCGCATAGTGCGAGGTGTCTGCCTGCCTGAGGCACGCTCGGTGGGAGGGGGAGGAGGGAGTGGAGGATGACTAATTGCCCCACGTTTTCGCCAAGGCCTGCTTTCTGCTTTGTATGTATGTAGGCCATCAAATCAATCGATGTAGGAGAATCACATGACCCTCCCCAGGGGAGGTTTAGAGCCCAACAGTGGCGGCGGAGAGTTGCGCTCGCTACAACAAATGCATGGCATTCTTTCCTAGCGATGCAATGGACTGAAAAGGCTTAGTCACCGCGTTTCTTATGAGGTAATAGGATATTGCCAGGTTCTTTTCTTTCTTGTGATACATGACCAACTAAAAGAACAGTGGTATCACGTGGGTGTGTGGACTTTTCGCCCAGGGCTTCGTTGTCTGAAGACGAGGGCAGGCAATTTGAAATTTTTCGCACCTCGAGTTCACTCCCGTTGCCTTGTAAGCCATTCATCAATATTCATTCAACTTTCACTACAAGTGCACGTGTACAGTCAAATAACAACTAAAATTGAGAAAATCTTTGGGCTGTATTCGTCTCCATCACGCCACGTAACCCATTCATTAAAGCGGTACCTGGAATAAGGTTTTATGGGGAAATAGATGTTAAAATGAGCTGAAAGTACACATGCGAGTGATTTAGATATTCAGGTACTCAGAATCTAGCAAGAGGAAGTTTAGTGGTGCCTTTTCAGCTACCAGTGTCTTTATCACTAGCCTTTTGAAAATAATCAGTGCCTTGACCATTTTTACCCATGGCTTTAGCTTTGATCAGTATCACTTAGGCAGCTGAGGTATAAAAAGGTTACCGATGCCAAAAATATGCCTATTTCCAGTTTCAAGATATTTCAAAATCCAGATGAAAAATAAGCAGAATTTGAAGTAATAGGAAGCTCCACTGGACCAGACTTCGTTAAGCAAACACGAAGCGATATTTATCATTAATGCTATCTGGTAATTTGCTATCGTGGCTATCCCCCACATGAGATATGCCCTTATCTTAAGAAGAGTTTTGTTGATGAGACTTCACCTTAGCGGCGACATTAACTTCTTAATTAGAGGGAAGAAGGCGATCTCAGGTCATCCAGGGTCTTCCACTGACCAAAATAAAGGCCTTGATATTTTGGATCTATTCAAGTGGGTATTTCTTCCTCATTTCATATCTGCTCAGTAGATGGAGAAGCTACCAATAGGGCGGATTTAGTGGACGTAAATTCGCAAATAGAGGTGGAAATCGACAGCCCCTCCTATCCCCCGCGCTAATCAAATTCAGTCGGTGGGTTACGAGTCGCTACACTTAGCCGCAGAATGCAGGTGTAATTCCTCCTTGTGATTCCTCGCATTCGGAATTCTGATAACTCCATTACGTAGCGTTTATGCTCTTATTTTGGGAATGATTTGGTTAGCAACCTTCTCCATTCGGGGTTGCAATGTACAAAACGGAGCGACCTAACGCCTGCCTCGTGCAATGAATGGGCAAGTAGGTAAAGCACTTCTTATTAATCATGTAATAGGCTTGGAAAGAGATCTAGGATGTGGTTATTAGTTGAAAGAAACGTAACCGGGATGATTAATGAATTTGTGAAATTGATGATGTGTGTGGGTATGAACGTCTAGAGTGGTTGGAAATTTTGCCATCCACTGGGACTGTCAAAAAGTTAACAATTGCGCAATTCAACCTGTTTCACAAGAGAATGTTAACTTAAATATAAAGGAATAATAATATTCCGTCAAATTAGGAGATGTTGATAAAATTGTATACAATCAAGGTGAGGCAACCAAAAGACTTCGTGCTAATGGTCAACACAAAAATTAACACGGTGGTTAAAGGCATTA